TCTCCAGATACTTTACTGTCCCAAAGCCGGATGGCTCCCTCCGCCCCATCCTCGACCTCAGAGACTTAAACTTTTTCATCGAACCCCAAAAGTTTCGGATGGTGACGGTATCGTCCATTCTTCCTCTCCTCAGATACGGGGACTTCTTCGCGTCCGTCGATCTCCGGGACGCTTACTTTCATCTGTCAGTCAGGAGACATCACAGGCGCTTCCTGGCCTTCAGGGTAGCGGGACAGTCATACAATTTCGATGTCCTTCCCTTCGGTCTCGTGACGGCACCGAGGACCTTCACCAAATGCATGTCGGTGGTCGCAGCAGCCCTCAGAAGGGAAAAGATTCGCATTTTCCCTTACCTAGACGACTGGTTGTTGGCAGCACGCTCCCCGGACCTCCTGAGAGTTCAGGTGGCAAGGACGCTTTCCCTCCTCGAAGACCTGGGCCTCCAGTTGAACGAGGAAAAATCCCATCTCGAACCCACCACTTGCATAAAATTCATCGGCGCCATGTTCGATTCTCTCTCCCAGACAGTTTCCCTCCCAGAGGAGAGATTCAGAGCTCTTCGAGCCGAGGCACTCAAGGTCCGTCGCTCTCGGGTGACCTCGGCCAAACAGATACAAGTTCTCCTCGGACACATGGCCTCCACGGTGATGGTGACACCGTTGGCAAGACTCCGCTTCCGCCCCCTCCAGAGATGGTTCTTGGACCACTTCAACCCCATGCGGGACAGTGCCACGAAGCGCCTACTGGTACCGAGGCCAGTGAAGGACTCTCTGAGCTGGTGGATGAACCGCCAGCATGTCTGCAAGGGCATTCCCTTTCACCCAGAGCCCCCGGCCGTCACGATCACGACGGACGCCTCGATGTTCGCATGGGGATGCCATAAAGGAGACCTCTCGGTTCACGATCTCTGGTCTCCACAAGAAAGACAATGCCACATAAATTACCTAGAACTGCTGGCAATATTCAAGGCCCTGAGAGCATTTGCCCTCCTGGTTACCGGCAAGTCCGTCCAAATTCTCACGGACAACATGGTGGCAATGTTCTACGTGAACAAGCAGGGCGGAACGGGCTCGAGAAAACTCCTCAAGCTATCAATGGAGCTTTGGGACTCGTGTGTAGCCAGGTCGGTGTCGATAACAGCACTGCACCTCCCGGGCGAGAGCAACACCGAGGCCGACGCACTCAGCAGAACCAGGGCAACATCTCACGAGTGGAAGTTGAACCCCGATGTGCTGGCAAAGATCTTCGAGGAGTGGGGCCTTCCAGTCGCAGATCTCTTCGCGTCGCCGCAAAACGCTCAGCTCCCTCAGTTCGGTGCTCGACTTGCTCCGAACACGGTACCGGGATGCCTCGGAGACGCGTTCCTGTTAGACTGGTCAAGGCATCTGCTCTACCTCTTCCCTCCCTTCCCGCTCATCCCGAGGGTGATCGAAAGGATCCAGTCGGCGCAAACGAACTGCATCTTGGTGGCGCCGGAATGGCCAAGACAACCGTGGTTCTCGGTCCTACTCCAGGTGTCCGAGGGGCGGATGAAACGCCTTCCACTTCGGCAGGATCTGTTCTCCCGAGAGGACGGTCAGCTTCTCCACCCCGACCTCGCTTCTCTGCATCTTTCGGCGTGGAGGATCCAGTTTTAAGAGCCCTGTGCCCAGGAGTCCTTCCTATCCTGGAGGCAGCCCATAAACCGGCAACCAAGAAGTGCTACTCGGCGTGCCTCAACCGCTTCCAGGCTTTTCTCGCCGAGAAGGGCCTAGACGACCATCGGCCTTCGATACCGACGATCCTCTCGTTCTTGCTGCATCTTACCGAACGAGGTTTGTCGCTATCGTCTCTCAAGTCCCACCTGGCAGCCATCTCACGACAGCTGCAGCGGGCAGGTGAAGCCTCCTTGTTTAAGGACAGCTCTGTGAAATCCTTTT